TTGGAAGCGCTAGACTCAAGCATCTAAGAGACTTCATAATTGTTTGTCAAAGAAAAATTATGTTTATTTGATTTGTTAATACATTGTTGTTCCAAAAGAAAAGGAGACAAAAGTGTATATATGGAGCTCTTTAGAGATTTTTCAGCAATAAAGTTTTTCATTTAGACAATTGTTGTTTTGTATATATTCATGTATATTTCATTCTTTATTCTGCCCATTGGAGATTTCATGATGAATTTTGAGAAATAAGACTAAATTGAGATTTTTCAACCTCTTGCCTGAAAATTCACACTAGATTGGTGATCCTCGGATTAAAAGAGGTCACTCAAACTGATTGATCTGTCTCGAAAAATTCAATGCAATATCTTTTTTCCCTTAACTGAACAATTTTTATTTTGCCCACTTCTATGGACTCCCAAAAATCAGTCACATTAATTGATAAATTGTAAATTGGGGCAATCTTTGCTCGGAAAAATGCTCATTGGTCTAACCAGATTCAGTCACATCTAAGTGAAAGCAAAAATGCATATTATTCTTATTTGTTTTGAAAATTTGGAATGATACTTTAAATATTCGTTTCTCTATCTATACAAATGTTATCCTTTGCTCTCCCATTTGAGCCTTTAAAAGAATAACTTCATTTCAAATAAGAGCCTTAATGATCACTACCCAACATTGAAAAAATTTTCAAAAGGGAATGGGTTCTCAATGAGCTATCCTTTACTTTGGTTGTCATGAGGCGTAAGAATGATGCTTTGGCCATCGTTTCTACAACCTAAATACTGATTACCCCTTGCATCCTCATTTGAGCCAAAATAGGTGGTTCATTTCGAATGCACTTATGATCGCACCCCACATTGGGGAAGGAGATTGGGGAATTTTGTAAAAAAAAAAAAAAAAAGGAATGCAAATTGAGAAAATTTGATTCTACCATTACTATCTGGGCTTCAATTTTGACGGAAAAGAAAAAAAGGAAGAGTTCTGTCTGACGAACCACTTGTGGATGAGCAAGAGTCTTCCTCAGTCAATTAATTCAGATACATGCAAGAAATTTCGTATTAATGAAAGTTTCCTTTCAGGGTTAATGTGAGGAATGGAACGAAAGTCAGGCCGTCTTCCTTTCCAATCAAACATTTTATCCCTAGTTATCCTTTTTGAACCTTCAGAATAATCTATTTCGTTTGGCAACCCCTGAGAATCGCAAACCCCACATTGGGGTAAATTAAGTTTTGAAAAAGAAGGAAAAAGAAAAAACCCCAAATTGGGGCAAATTTAATTTTTGAAGGAAGGCCAAAATCAAAAGAAGAAAAAAAAAAGAGAACCTCGGTTAAGCATAAATTGGGGCAAATTTTTGGAAAAGTTCAAAGAATGGCAGAAGGCCGAAAAAGAGAACAAAATGAGAAAGGAAAAGAGCCTCAATTGAGAATAAACTGGGGCAAGTTATGATTTAACCCTGAAAAAGGGTTGATATAATAATGCGATCTCAGATCATTTAAACCACTTTTGAAAATCCGCTTTCAAGCCTTAACTTTTCTAAGCACCCCACCAGACCCCATTACAAAAGTCGAAAGTCCTAACTTCTGTTTTTTGCAATGGCCTTGTCAAGAAAATTTCTGATGCCAGAAAATTTTAGCCGTATTTCTGAATTGCTTGGGTATGGGGGTTGACACTACTCACCATGTGAAAATCCACCAGGTTGAGAAAAAGGAGAAAGAAGCAAAAAGCAAAGCAAGAAGAGTAAGCGCAAGAAAAATGCAAAAAAATCCGACGCTGAAATCCCTGGTGAATGCTGAGAAAAATGCAAACAAAGTCCGAAATCTTTGAGTACGAAATGAGAGCAATTTTGAGAAAAATGCGATATTCCGTGCAATACCCTCGATTTTTTTTTCCTTCAACTATCGTTTTCCAACCGCATTACAAGCTCATAAAGTCCATCGCTGACTTATCCCTCATGACAACTCAAAGCAAGGGTTACGCTCCTGATCATAAGGTTATAACCTGTTTCCGCATGTTTTGGTATCGTTTCTACCCTTCTGTTACAAGTTTATAAAGCTTATGTGTTGACTAAGTTTTCTTAAGAAATAAGGGTGACAAACTATTTGCTTTCACTAAGATGTGCTATCGAATGGGCACAAAAATAAGATAAATCTTGACCTCCCGTTTCCTTTAGCCACTTCCAAATAAAAAATGACGCCTACTTGATTGGTCCTGAAAGATGAGCCAACAAGAAGTGGTGACCCGCTACTCTAAGCACAGATACTAAAAGTGAGGAAGAAATCTTCTGTAATTTGGTGTTATTCTGAGAGATTCATCATGAAATTTCTGCATGAGTTCAAACTCAACGTTTAAATTTCTTCATGTTGTATATATGATTACTTTCTAAGTTTTAGAAAGTGCGATTTCTCTTTGTTCAAATAAATGGGGAATCATCTAAACAAATTTTTGCAATCAAAGGAGTCCACACTGGGGCAAATTTTATTTGTGAGATTTCGCGAAATAAACCCACACAGGGGCAAATATTTTTCTAATACATTTGATGATTTCGCACAAGAGTCAAGTAATATACTTTCAAATCAATCACACTGCTCTTTCTATGAGTAGTAGTTGCAATATTTTAAAATAAAGTGCATGTTGTACTTTGGCAAGCCCCTGTGCAGGTATCCATGGCTGAAATCGACGAAGAAGCGTAAGTCAGAATCTTACGAATCAAGGCCTCAAGAAGGAGCAACCATGCCGTAATGCAAATCAATTGATCGGTTGCACAATAATTGGCGGAAACTGGGGCAAATTATTTTTTGAAAAGATTCTCAAAAAATCAAACTTGAATTTAATTTCTTGTTCCTTGGCAAATTTCAATTTCTTGTTGATGAAATCTCAGCGCCCGCCGCGCACCCTTCCATTCCCCATTCTTGACAACCACATTTAAATTCACTGATTTCTCCACCGTTAGCATCGAGTCTATCTCACTAACGTGTGCATTTTTATTCTACCACCGTTAGCATCGAGCCCATCTCATTAACGTGTGCATTTTTGTTCCACCACCGTTAGCATCGAGTCTATCTCACTAACGTGTGCGTTTTGTTCCACCACTGTTAGCATCGAGTCTATCTTACTAACGTGTGCGTTTTTGTTCAACCACCGTTAGCATCGAGTCTATCTCACTAACGTGTGCGTTTTGTTCCACCAGCGTTAGCATCGAGTCTATCTTATTAACGTGTGCGTTTTTGTTCCACCACCATTAGCATCGAGTCTATCTTACTAACGTGTGCGTTTTTATTCTACCACCGTTAGCATCGAGCCCATCTCACTAACGTGTACGTTTTTATTCCACCACCGTTAGTATCGAGTCTATCTCACTAACGTGTGCGTTTTTATTCAACCACCGTTAGCATCGAGTCTATCTCACTAACGTGTGCATTTTTGTTTAACCACCGTTAGCATCGAGTCTATCTCACTAACGTGTGCGTTTTTATTCAACCACCGTTAGCATCGAGTCTATCTCACTAACGTGTGCGTTTTTATTCTACCACCGTTAGCATCGAGTCTATCTTACTAACGTGTGCGTTTTTATTCAACCACCGTTAGCATCGAGTCTATCTCACTAACGTGTGTGTTGTTTTTAGTCTATCCCCGTTAGCATTGGGTTCATCCCACTAACGTGTGTGTTGTTTTTAGTCTATCTCCGTTAGCATTGGGTTCATCCCACTAACGTGCCTTTCTGTTTCCGATTTTCTCGACAGACTCGGGTTTAATCCCACTGATCGATTGTCAAGGCATTTCATTTTTATTGCCACTAAACATGGGTCAGTCCCATTAGCATGCATTTTATTTTCACCGCCACTAGCCGGTGGGTCAGTCCCACTAGTGAGCATTTCATTTGCACCGCCACTAGCCGTTGGGTCAGTCCCACTAGTGAGCATTTCTTTTGCATCGCCATTTCATGTTGGGGTCAGTCCCCTTCGGGTCAATCTCGATTTAAATTCCTGTTGGGGTCAGTCCCTTTTTAAATTTCCTGTTCGGGTCAGTCCCATGTTTAAATTGTCTGTTCGGGACAATCCCGTTTAAATTTTCTGTTTGGGTCTGTCCCGTTTTAAATTTTATGTTCGGGTCAGTCCCGTTTAAGTTTCCTGTCCCAGGTCAGTCCCGATTTTAAATTTCCCATTTTAAATTATTGGTTCGGGTCAGTCCCGTTTTAAATTTCTTGTTTGAGTCAGTCCCATTTAAAAATTTTGTTAAAGGGGTCAGTCCTCAGTCGCTCGAGTAGTTTGCAGCCGAATAACACAGGTGAATATTTGGTGTCTACTTCTTTGTCTCAAATTTTTTCAAAACTTAGACAAAGACGGGCAAACTGTAGACACCAAAATTTTAAATTATTGTTATTATTATTTTTTTTTGTGATAATTGTTATCTATTTTTTTTAATCTCGTGGCATTTCAGATCATTATTATTATTACTTATTATTGTATTGTTATTTTTTATTTTTTTATGATCTAGTTGTTTATTTTTATTTTTTTAAGGCTTTCTAGTATTAGGATTTATTAAAAAAAAAAAAGAGAGAGAAAATTGTTCACAAAAATATGTTTATTTTCTTTTGAATTCAATTTTGTAGTGTTTTATTTATCTTGTTAGAATTATTTCATTATGTGTTAAAAGAAAAAAGGGAAGCCAGCTCACGCTTGCATGAGCCACACAGGATTCGAGCCTTTACTTCATATTGCATTTCAAGCAGAAAACATGAAACGAAAAATACAGAGGATGCAAAAAAAAATTTCAGCTCCATTTTCTCTTACTCTTTTTCTCCTCCGTTCGATCATTCGAACAACAAACCACTTGGTTTGATCCAAGGTTATCAAAAGACCCCAGAAATTATGAAGATCCAAGGATGTAAAAAAAGGGCAAGAGAATTGAGTTTTTTCTGAGCCTTAGATGTTAGGTTTCGGGAAGGAGCTTCCCATATAAAAAGCTAAGAATGTGACGGCCAAAAAAAGGGAGGACGGGAACAAAAAAAGCTAGGAAAAGCCAAGAGGACGGCTGAGGATAGCAGATAGGTTTGGCGGCTAGGGTTTGAGAGAGCTAGGAGGGTTGAGTTACGAGAAGAGGAAGGAAACCAAGGAGGGGGAATTCTGGGAACGGCTGAAAAGAAAGGGGTAAGGTACAGCGGCTGGGGTTTTGGGGATGAAAGGTAGAGCTTACGGCTAGGGCATTAGAAAAAAATGGGAGAAGGTTTTGGGAACAGCGGCTGAAGAGAGAGATCGAAAAGGAGAGAGCGAGAGAGGTAGGCAGCCGAGAGTTCTTCGACCGAGAGAAAAGCTTGGCGGCTGGGAAAGAAAAGAAGCTACGAGCTGGGCAGAAAAACAGGAAAGCTGCCGGAAAAAGAAAAGGGAGAAAGGGAGGTTGAGCGAGGAAGAAGCCGAGAGTGTGAGATAGAGAGTAAGGGTGGCGGCTGGGAAAACAGAGAGGAAGAAAACCAGGAAAAGAAAAAGGATAGATCTTCGGCTAGCATCCCCTGCATCAGCGTTGGAATCTTCCGCAACCCAGTTCATGGATTTCGTTTGCCAGAACCGTTCGATTTCTAGGAGCCTCTCCTGTTCGTTTAGCAGCCTAAGTGCTCTCAGGTAATCATGGATCCTTCTCAATCTTGTTTTGAGACGATTTTTATAAGAGATCTGAACCCTTTTATGCATGATTTTCTTCCTTTCCTAAGTTTTGTCGATGCTTGAGGATGATGACTGCAAATCATCCTTTTTCTTTCTTTGGTTGCCGAAGTTGTGACCTGTTTGTCGTTCTTGTTTATGTTTGTCGCTTGACTGGGGATGCCATGAACTTGTTTGCTATCAAAGCTGTGTTTAGAATCTTCTTGTTGCAAACTTAGGAACCAAAAAGCTGTTAGCTTTCGTGCTTTCTTTCCCCTGTGAAACTGAATGGGTGCGGTACGTGAGTTGCAAGTGTCGTTCTTAGTATCTTGTTTGTTCATATGATTTGGGTCTTAGGCTGTTTTCTTGAAGCTTTAGGTTTGAAGTCGGTAGATGTTCATACGCCTTTGTACCGCCGAACCTTGGTTAGGGTTTGATGAACTTGTTTTATTGTCTCCTTGCGCATATGGAAGCCAAAAAATTGCAGAAAAGCAACCAGTGGATTTGAATGACAGTTTTGGGGTCTTAATGCTTTGGGTCAATTCATGTTTAAGTATGTTTGGGACTCTTATGAGGCTCCCGAGAGTCGCTGCAACGAAGTTGGAGTTCTCTACTTTGTTGCAGCAAATAAAATTCTGATCTTTTGGGTTGTTGAAGTTCCGGAAATGGCTTGGATTTCATTTTCGCTCTGTTTGGTGTTTGATAGTAATCCCATGTATGGGCTTGCTCCGTTTTAAAACGGCAATCAGTGGTAACGCAGGCTTGCTGTCTTTGTTGGGCTGTCTCCATTTTTTTTTCTTCCTCCTGTTCGTTCAAGTTGTTTAAGTAGCTGTTTTCTTACATCTCTGTGGAGTCTTGCTCAAATAGCTAGTTTGAAGGATTTTGGTTTGATTGGTATTAAGCGAGGTTTGAGTTGCTGTTTTTCCCCTATAAAGCATACGTGTGTTTGAGAACTTAGGGACAGGAAGCCATCAGTTTCTTTATTTTGTTTTGGGTTTGTTGTCTTGCAAATCTGTTCGAAGTTTCAGCAAACGATCATAGCATTCCTTTGTGTTGTTATCTTCTTCTCCCTTTGTTCCAAGGCATTGTATTCAAATTGAGTTTGATAGCTGTCTTGTGTTTGAGAATGTAATCCGACGAGCTGTGATAGTGAACAATGCAGCAAGGTTCATTTTCGGTTGCTGAAGCATGCGAAAGTAGTTCCAGAAGCTTGTTTTCCTCATAGTTATTTTTTCACAAAAACTTGCACAAAATGCTTTCAAGAATTCATTTGTTAATAGGTGTTTAGCCGGGCATAGTTAAATTTAGCTCAAAAGTGTTCTGTAAATTTTGTTTTGCCGAAAATTACTTGGAGTTGCAGAAAGCTTCTCGTTTTGCAGAAGAATAAGAAAGCTTTTGATTGCATGCATGCAAATCTTTCGAAATTTCCATTCTAACCTCACATGTTCCTCCTCATGCTACTAAGGTCCAATTATGTTTTAATTTCTTGCGATTAGGTGCTAGAGTAATTGCGTTTTGAACCATTACTTGACCTTATTATTACTCTTGGATCTTTGAAGTTCTCAAAATATTTTAATTGAACTTGAATGATGGGTTAATTTTTGTAATTGGGTCCTTGGTAGTTTTTCTATTTTTGAAATATGATCAATAATTTGCTTTTCTTGGAAATTATGCATTATTTGATTTCATTTAAGTTGAAATTGGGAGGGATTTGGCGATTTTGTTTATACTTTACTATTTAATTGGTGCCTTGACCCTTTTATTGTTTTGAAGCTATTTTTCCTTCATTTGATTACCATTGCAAGGGAGGTACATTCTATCCCTTATTTTAACTTTATTTGACCCTATGTGTTTATGTGATTTATGTGCTCAATTGCATGCCTTTTGAATGTTTTCATTTATTTATCTATTTTATTTGTTTTAGTTATTTTCAATTTCGATCATTTGAAAGGCACTTGAATGCCAAAGTTGTAATAGTTAGGTTATTATTTTATTTATTTTATTCCGTTTCCCCTCTTGGATTGTAGTAGGCTTCCCCCGAATATAATAGTTATGGCTTTATTAGCTTTATTTGCCTTATGTGTGTTTTGCATGTCTATGTGCTATGTGTTACCGCTTTCTTAGGGTCTTGCATCTAGATATCATACTTATGTGTTATGTGCTATATGTGATTTATGTGTTTATATGCTCTTATTAGGTCTTACATGATTTATTTGATTGTAACCGATGTGTGACGTCACCACACTAGTCCAATGCTAGTTGTGGTCAATTTCTCGAATCCACACTAATCCAACGCTAGTTGTGGTCCTTTGTTCCGACTTTTCTCACTAGTCCAATGCTAGTGGGAAATTGTAGACATGGGTTAGTCCAACGCTAGACTCTTAGGAGCCCCTCGAGCGTTAGATCATGGTTGTGTGATAAAATCACTTCATCTCATGCATGTTTTCACTTTTTTAGGATTTTTACCATGTTGCATGACACTTTCTTATATATGTACAACCTTTATCCCATATTCCCTTCTACTTATATCCCTTATTCCGTATTTTCCCTTATATATATATTCCTTACCCCTTTGTATGAAAACATAACATTAGAATTGCAATTCATTTTAGAATTAGGATTAGGGTAGTGCATTTGCTTTATTAGATTAGGGAATACCCCCTTGAATATGGGATATGGATGAGTTTAGCTTTCTAGCCTTAGCACGCTCATATTCCCTCTATTAAAGGAAAATTGAGTCACGAACATTAGTCCCCTGCACCCGACATGATGCACTCCTTTAAGGCGTGTATATTTGTATAATTATTTTATTTCTTTTCTTTCCCTAGAGTCTCATATTTTTGCATTATTCGTGACTTCTCCAAAGAGTTACTATTGGGCATCACAATTAATGTGATTGGCACCATTCAAGGTTTGAAGAGAAATTTTGACCACCCCGATACCCTCCTAGGTCTAGGGTTTGCATTCATATAGTATATCCAAATGTGATAAATCTTTAGGTTAAAATAAAAAAATCTTTGACTAAATCACGCAACTAACCTTGGCTAGGTCGAAAGGGTGCCTCGGATTTTTATCCTTGCCTTCCCTTTCTTCAAATGTGACTCCCGAACCTTTTTCTTTGATTTACGTAAACTAGGAGTCGTTTAAAAGGGATTTTCTACTTTTTCCTTGGAAAAATTCATTTTTAGGTGACTTGGTACACCTTAACTCTATACCAAGTGGCGACTCCGATTTTGTTTTAAAAACCTTTTTTAAACTATTATTTTGGGTCAAATCGTCGCATTTTCAAGCCCCATTTAGTCCCACATTTTTTCATTTTCTTTTTAAATCAAAATTCGTTTTTCAATCAAAAATTGAATCAAAAGCCATTTTTCTAAACTCGTTATTTTTCTTATTAAAAATGGGGCGCGACACTTTGTTTTTTGGTTCATTCCCAATTAGCGCACTTTTGCCATAATTGAAGAGGGCTTATCTAAGTCATTTCCAACCATTTTAATTACTGATAAAAAAAAGTTTATCCATCAAAATCAAATACTAAAAACTCATAGCACAAAGACAATAAAATATATTAGCTTCTATACCAACTTATTCTTGAAAATCAGGGCAATGCTAATCATTCGCAAAGATATCAATGCTTTGGAAAAAAACTATAAAATAGTCTTTTATGATAAAAATGCTCACAAACATAATATCAAGAACTTATGAGATTTTTTTTTTCTGTAATAACAATAGACATAATATCAACAGACATAATATCAAATTATTATGTAACTACAAATTCATAAGTATATAATCAATGATGAGATTATTGTACAATGACTAAGTAAAGCTGTGAACTGGCCATAAAAGGTATAGAATGCAGGATAAAATGAGCAAATAACTGAATCAATTTACCTTCATTTGCTGTAAACTACAGTGCAGTCGTGTGTAATTGCAATTGCTGTTGTGTGTCAACTGCAATTGTTGTCACATAGTTTCTTCAAAAGATTGGTTATCAACAAGTTGCTGTGTATCTAAACAGAGAGAAAATTCTGTGACAATAGCAAAAATGAAGTAGCAATGCAATAACATTAAAATCTACTTTTATTCCACTTAATAATACACTTATGCGTACATAAAGGCATCTAACCTTGCAATTGGTCATCAACATTGTTGCTAGCTGATACATTCTGAGCATTAATGGATTCTTTAGAGCATTTGCTAGGTTCCTTATCCACTATTTCTAAGGGAAAAGCAATCACATTGAATAATCACCATTCATATAGATGACAACTAAGATTAATACTAAATTTGAATAAGTGAGTACAACAAGTGGCATTTGCACCTTTACTAGGAGCAATTTGCATGTCAGGGTTGAGCGGAATTACACCTCTGGTATTGGTTTCTTTTTCATGACATGAGTGAGCGACTTTTTTTTTTTTTTTTTTGCTTTCCTCTTTCGATAGGTCTCTCTCTGTTTGAGACGGCGCAATTCTTTCTCCTTAGGTGATAGCATAGCATATTTCTCCCTCAACTTCTGATTATGGATAGCTTTTTGTGCAACTAGCTTATCACTATCACTATAACTACTCATCCTATGGTATAGCTAAATATGCTTCCTTTATAAGTAAAATTCCCAGAGACCACAAGTACTTTAATATTACTAGCTAAAACTCGCAGATCATAAATAAAAAAGAAAGCTATGAACACATAAACATGATAGAGCTAAAAATGAGAGAAGTAGAAGTTTAGTTGACGCTCATTTGGAAAACATGGACAGGAAAAATAATGAAACTGAATAAACATGGACAATGACAATCTGGCATCCTAACAGGTGAAATGAATAGTTGCAGTGGTAAGAAGTATACAAGTTCTGTAGTATTTGCATGACTAATATAAGAGGTTAATGAAAGATAATGAGTAATTATGCAGAATCAATATGATCCTACTAGATAAATATATGGTGATAAATATAAGTTTAAGAAGGTGTAGCTGAGCTATTA